ATGCCTTGTCGTTGGAGCAAAGGGTTTCCAGTTCAGAGAGGGCTCAGGAAAATTGGACGGCATGTCATAATTATAAAGCAGTAAACTCTGCAGTTGTATTTTACCTTGCTTAGGATGATGTCATGGTGCTTTAGCAACTGACTTTAAAATAAGAGAGTGTAATAGTGTATTATTGTTCGTCCAGGACTGTCTTGAGAATCAGAGAACCACCCAGGATCACTCTGATTCTACACGAGGGATCACAGTAATTTAAACAGGCAACAGGTGCTTCCTAGACCACTAAACTTAGTGGAAATGGGGTCACAATGAGAGAGAAAGGAGGGAGGGAGAAATGAGTGAAAGGATGGAAAAAGGAAGTGACAAATGAAAGGAGGGCAGAGGGGGAAAGAGTAATGGTAAAGAAATGAGGCAAAAAGGAAGGAAAATCCCCCTCTCCAAAAACAAACATAATTCTGCCCCTCAAAGTGTTAGAATGTCGGGGCAGGGTAATGATCCTCTCTTCTGGTATACTGTAATGATGTTCTTAAACAAGTTTCCTGATACAAATGTACACTATTTTGTAGTGTGAATCTAAATATGGAAGTTATCAGCTCACTCCACCTTGTTTAGGACAATGGGGTTTTTTGGTTAAGTTTGCCTTCCTGTCTCAGAACTTCACTTCCCAGCCATGGCCCTTCGTGGTGCCCTGGATTTTTGTTGATATGTGCAGTATGCCTTGCTTTTTTATACCCTTGAGGCTTTTGGTATTCTATTCACTCTAGGTAGAATGAAAAGTCTGCCTTTCAACCCCCTGCAACCATCACCCCTTTTGTCTTGCTGTCTCAACCAGTGAGACACTGTTCAAACAATATTTCTTCTGTAGAATCACACACGCCTCTTCATAAGAGAATGATTCATTAAGATTCTATTGGCGTATATCAAATAAACTGTGGTTGTCTGAGTGAATCTCTCTCTTTTTGTAAATATTGAGCTCCTAAGGAACACGCACCTTCTCATATTTACCAGCATGTATATATACCAGTCTCCCATGTACACTCATAAGTTTATCCTTAAAAGTACTTGAATTAATGAAGAAGGAAACAGAAACTATTTTCTGGAAAATGCACTCAAGACATGAAAGTGACATAAAAAATTTCTTGGCTATTTTAAAATTATTTAGGGGTGACTGTTAATTTGCAGAAAATGAATAGCAATGTGAATGATTCCTGCCCATAGCAATGCAAATGAATTACACAAATCCCTGCAAGTCAGATTTTCATTTGAACCAGTGAAGATCTTACTGGTCCCCATGGCCGGGTGCGGTGGCTCACGCCTGTAATCCCAACACTCTGGGAGGGCAAGGTGGGTGGATCACCTGAGGTCAGGAGTTCAAGACCAGCCTGGCCATGGTGAAACCTCCTCTCTACTAAAAATACAAAAAAAAATTAGCCTGGCATGTTGGTGCACGCCTGTAATCCCAGCTACCTGGGAGGTTAAGGCAGGAGAATCGCTTGAGCCCAGGAGACGGAGGTTGCAGTGAGCCGAGATCATGCCATTGTACTCCAGCCTGGGCAACAAGAGTGAAACTCCTTCTCAAAAAAAAAAAAAAAAAAAATAGATCTTACTGGTCCCCTCATTTATTAATGAGTCAAATAAAATCTTTGACATGCATTCGTTTTATATTTGGATGAGAGTCATGATTTTACTATTTTTGAAAATTATGCTTTAACACTGTAATAGAACATTTTTATTGAATATGTCTGTGCATAAACTACCAGATAGCATAGGTTGAGGGTGTGTTAATAGAATATAGAGAATGTTTTCTATTAAACTTAACATAATAGCTGTAAGGCAATGTGGAAGTGAAATTAATGTATCTGTTAAAATCATAATACTACATTAGAACACCAACAGAATAATATAATAAGGTCCTTTAAAGCAAATGGTTTCCAGGTTTACATATACACATTCACACATGCACACACTACATATATACCTACAAATAAATATGTGCATGTACATGTGTTAAAATGTAACTGATACGGTGAAGTCAATATGTTTTCCATAAAGTAATTACAAGTTTATAGGTTTCTGCATCACAAGTATGTATCACACTCTATTAAACATGTGGTCATGAGAGCACAATGTTAACTCTATTGCTTAACTCTTTTAATCACTCTTACTCATACTTCCCTGTTATTTGCTTTTCCATCATTTTCCTTAACTAAAGCCTATGTATCATCCTCCTGCCAGACATCCCCCTTCCACTTATTTGAGTGGAAATAGGAACTTTCCCAATAAAGGCAGCTGAACAGACGGCATTAAGCAAAAACGTTTCAAATCTAATGGCCCATTAGTCACACTCAACCGATGATCCACTGAAATGACTGACCAGGTAACTAGGTCAGCTAGCTCAAGGGAAGCATTTACCACACAGCTCTCACTTTTCCAAACCCAAGGACCACAGCTTCAGCCTCCATTCACAAAAACAGGATATGGACCCAGGAGCCATGTGGCTCATTACCTGTGTGGTGGGAGTTTCTCACGGACACAGGCATGCTTCAGAGGACTGGGAATACACCTTTCTCTAAGACTGAAGTTTAGATTCTCTCTAATTTTAAGAGAAGGGTACCGCAAGGTCAGCCTTGCAGTCTAGCACTTTTGTTTTGTTTTGTTTAAAGCACTACATCATTTCTTAAGATACATATTACATGTGATTAAAACTTTATCCTATTTTTCTCCCTCTCTTAGCTGGCATTCCTTGGGAGTGGAAAAAAAAAAAAATCAAAGGCATTCCCACACAAAGGTCCACATTGAAGTATGTTTAAGTGTCAGATTAAAACTAACAAAAGGCAGGAAATAAGGAGTTAGACTTTAACTCAGTCCTGAACTCACCCTATTGTGCCTAGGTACCAAGGGGTCAGGAAAGAACCTCTAGGTTCAGAATTAGCTGCTTCTGTTTCCTTTCACTGCTGAGATATTATACTTCAAAAAAATATTAAATTGACAAGAAGCCCCCAAGTGCCTATAACCCCCACAGGGTGGTAATCTGTGCGTATCTCTAGTTTTAAAAGACATGATTCAACCTTACACCTCTTCAAAAGTACAAAAACATCTGTTACCTTTGGTAAATCCCCTTTCCTATGTATCTGTTTTCTGGCTGTACTGAGTTATTTCCCTTTCAAAAAAATAAGTAAATCAGAAAAAGAAAAGATGCCAGAAGTAGGAAAAAGCAGTGATTTCTTAGCAGATGGCAATCAGCAGCTTATTTATTTCTGGGTTTCTCTGCTAAGGAAAGCACTTTATTCATATTCAAACTTAATTTTCTAATCTAGGATGACTTCCAGTACCAGGTACGATTCTGACTCTTCCTGGCCATTTTTCAAATTCATCCTATGAATTTGAATAATTGCAACTGCCTACAGCTTATTCGCAGGGGGAGAATGCACCTCCTCTGCAAATGTAGACTACCTTTGGGACCTAGAGCATCTTTGCCTAGAGTTCTCTCAAAGAAGTACTGGCATAGACACTACTCAGGTATGCGTGTAAGTCTGCTGACTGGAACTGGGAATGCATTTTGTATTTTGCATAATGGTAAACCAGAGTTAGCCTTCTGTGATCCACAGTATTGCTGAGGAAATTGGCAAGGGTTATTAAGACTCCAGGTACCACGAGTAGCAAAGGACATCCCTGGGGAGAAATAGTCAAGGTTCTAACAACTCAGGGTCTGTGACGCTCTTGTCCTTGGATGCTCTTCATCTCATGCTCCACAACTTGAGACAGATAGATGTTCTAGCAAATTCTCTCCAGATATTGAAAACTGCAGATGACTGGAAGTTCCTGCTAGTAAAAATCTCCCAGATGAATTTGCAGAGCAAACCTGCACCTCCCACCAAAGAGGACAAGAGAACTCATCCTCTTTTCTCATCACGTCTGTCAGTTTATATCCTTCTTCAACCCCCCAAAGAAGGGAGCAAATCATCATTCTTCCTTTGACCAAGGAAAACAATGCCTTTCTTTACTTATAATAGTAGGAGCAACATTATGAGATAAAAATGAAAAACATCCAACCAGTCACAATGTTTAAATAAGAATTGTTGATGCACTGTCTCCATCAGTTGGGTAAAAGTTTAAAATTGTTTCCTGCTTGCCGGTTCGCACCTCTCACCCCCTTTTCTCCACATGCAAACACACATCTTTCATTTTCACTTAAATCTTACAAGAGGGAAACTCAGGCATTGAGAAGACTGTTCAGTGTAAGTGCCTCCAATAAATAAATAACTCAGTACTTTCAGAGAATAATAAAGGCTATAAAAAAGGAAATAGTTAGAAGCGTCATGCAATTTATCATCCCAGCTGGTTAAGTTTTGAGAGAGACAGAGGTCAGAACAAATACTAAACTGGACTGGGCACCAGGACAAGAGCCTCTATCTGGGACTCTCCCAGACAAACCTGAAGGTGGGAGGTCTCTCTCCAGGTAAAGTGATAATTTCTGGAGTGACTTTCAGAACTTTGTACTTAGAGAGGCAGTGGGAGACAGAGGACTGAGCCCAGTCTTGCCTGGCTGAAGTGAGCTTTGGAAAGAGCCACACAAAATTCAAATGCAGGCTGGATTTGAGGGGCCAGAGAAAATAGGTAGATATTTAGTTTATTACACTAGATATTTGAGACGTAATAGAGGCTTATACTGGCTGGTACCAATAGGACGAATGTGAGGGATTATTGATGTGAAATGAATAGATCTCAAAACCTCATGTCTATAAACAGGGTGAATCAGAGGTGATTTTTCTGAGTAACTGAGTGATGTCTTTAGCAGTATTTTGGGTAAAACTAAGGCCAAAAGGTTGAGTAATATACACAATTTTGCCAACTAATAATGTGACCTCCAGATCTACTTTTTAGTAAAAAGATGACTCTATTTCAATGTGATAAGGGCCATGAAGGGGACAGGAACAAGAAACTCTGAGGTCGTAAGAACTGATTCTACCTTTGCCAGGTGTGGTGAGACCCTGTACTACAATCTAAAGATGGACCCTGCTCGCTCAATCTCTAGTTTTATTACCTCTGGTGAGTACTTGCCCTTTTCTGGGCCTCAGTTATAAATTTGAAGCTCTCACATAGGTATGCTCCTTCACTGCTCTGGTACCTTGGAATATGCAGCTCTCTCTAGCAGAGTGCCCTTTTCCATCTTGTCTACCCGAGAAGCCCTTTGTCATGCCCAAAGTTACCACCTCAGTGAGACTTTCTCTGAAAAATCATCCTTTGGAAACATAGCCTACCAATCACCTGTCTGTTGATTTCTTGTGGCAGATACAATTCTGCCTTCCCAGACACCTTCTAGCCAAGGGATAGCCATGTAATACGGCTTAGCCCAATGACACATAATCAGAAATCTTTTGAAATGGGGATTCAAGAAGACCTTTTACTTCTCTGGTTAAAAGTAACAGCCATCACACTCTTTTGCCCTTTTTCCTTCTTTCTTCAAACCACCTCAAACACCATTATAATTTTGGAGATAAATCAGCCATTTGGCAACCATGTTGCTACCAATGACAGAATGAAATCCAGCAAACTAAGTTGTGGAAGATATGATCAGTAGATTCATTTATGTCATCTTGAAGCACTGAAGCAGCCCTGTACCTAATTTTATTCTTCCTATTATAAAGACAGATAAGTCCCTGCTTTCCAAGCCCTGTGAGCAAGTCTTTTCTTGAAACTAAAAGCATACATAATTGACACACTATCCGTTAGCTATTGCTGAGTAACAACCCCCAAAACTGCAGGTCACCTAGGTAGTCCTGCTGATCTGGTCCATGTTTCTGTTGAGTTGTCCAAACATCTGGAGGCTACATTGCCAGGCTGGCTAGACTAGGAAGGCCTCAGCTGGGACAGCTGATCTCTACTCCATGTTCTCTGTCATCTCCCACCTGGCTAGCCTAGGCTTTCGCACATGGGAGCAGAAGAGTTTAAAGAGAATGTGGAGAATGCAAGTCCCCACCATCACATCTACCATGTTATTGGCCAAAATGAGTAACTAGGCCAGCCAGATGCAAGGGGAGCCGTGGAGTATTGGAGGCATGATCGCTTGCACTCAATCTGTCAAACAATTGTAAAGTGTGAGAGTTTGAGAACAAGGATTGTGAGATATTTGCAACTCCTATATAGTAAGCCTTCCCTAACCTTATTTTTAGCCAAATGTTTGCTCTGCTTAATTCACAGGGCTATTGAAAGAACCCTTTATTTCTGAGTCCACAGTAGATCAAGTGGGAGGCCTTTTGAGATGCAAGGAAACAGATTACCACACACTAAATTACTGCTGGTATAATTAGATTTTTGAATGCATACTTGCAGAGCAAGGTTTTCATCCATCTCCAGGGACTTTGGAAGAAGACAAAAAAGGAAATCAATACATAGAAGAGCTTTAGCTCCTGGGTGAATTTGAAAGTTGAGTTAACATAGAGTGATTATTTACCTTGCCGTCCAGTTATGATTACTTGTTACCAGTGGATAGCATGTTGTACTTCAATCACCTATTTGAGATAATACTTATTTTTTTCCCAGGAGCAAACTCTCCCACCTGGTCTACACAGGATTTTTCAAGACCACTTTCAGCAAACCATCCTCATTGTTCCCCAGAATAAAGGATAAAGAAGCTTAGAAAACTTGTGAGATCATGTCTTCTACAGGAAAATTTTTGACCTCGAACAAGTTGGAAGTAGAGAACAGTGTGTCCACCATCTGGGGAATAATCAATGAACATCCTACCCCTAATATATGATGCATCAGAGGCTGGCTAAATTCTCACCAGTTTCTTAGGCACACAGCCACAATACATTCCCCTGATACTCTGCAGCTGGGTGGGAACATATGACTGTTTTTTGCCAATGGAATGTGATTGGAAGACACACCTTTTGGTATAACGCAGGGGTCTGCAAACTATAGCCTACAGGGCAAATGTGGCCAATCACCTGTCTTTGTAAATAAAGTTTCATTGGAACATAGCCACCCTATTCATTTACGTATTGTCTAAGGCTCCTTTCACACTATATCGGCAGAACTGTGTAGTTTTTAACAAAGATTAGGTGGCTCTCAGAGCCTAAAATATGTACTATCCTTTACAGAAAAAATTAGTTGACTCTTGGTTTAAGGCATATTAAAGTGAGTGCCTGTTCCATTTGCTCCTCTTCTGCTATCTGAAAGATGTCAGGCCAGTTTTTGAAGCCACGACTGGATCTTGCAGAGCCCCATTATGAAAATAATTGTGTCGCTGAATGGATGCACAAAGCAGAGGCTCCTGTCCAAACAACAGACCCATCCCCATTCTCTTGGAATTCACACTGGACCATGATACAAGCAAAAAAATAAAACTTTATTGTGTTGAGGTACTGAGACCTGGGGATTGTGTGTTATAGCAGCAAACACTACTTACCTTGACTAATATAAATGAACAAAGCGCAATGCTCTACACAAATATGACATTTAAAAATTGAGTAATTGCAGCATGGAAAAACAAAGGCATCGGTCTAAGACCTATAGCAAAGCTTGGAAGCGACAAGAGTGGTTATCATTTCCCCCAGCATTGTGATGAATTGGCAGAGAATTACCGCAGAGCAATTCTAGCACCAACCTTAAGGTCCTTCTCATGTGATGTGACTCAAGGAAAATTGAAGATTCAAACCCAAAAGAATATCTCCTTGCTGGCTTGTCACTGATACCTGCCTCATTTTTTTTTATTATTAAAGGTTGCCTTGTTGTTGAAATGTGAACACCCCAGAAAATCATTAGCTACTCAGTATGAGAAAGGATCTCATTATACTCTTTTTAAAGGAGAGCCAGACAAATAAGCCAGAAATACATTTTTATTCTCTCAAGATAGTTAAAATCCTAGACACCTGGAAGAGAGGGCTATAAAAAGAAAGGTAGGAAGGTCTTGCAAAAATAGATGGCTGTCTAACTTTGCCCCCTTCTTTGGTACAAGGCATGACTCAGGAACCTGGCAATCGTCTTGAACTCAGAGGCCAAGATGTTTTCCTAACTACAGTGCCCTATATTCCTTACCTGCTTTGTCACTTCCTCTTCAACGTGAGTCACTTCCTCTGAGAATTCTTCAGATCCACTTCAGATCTATTCTTCCTTTGTCTTTCACAACCCCTGCAATTAATAAATGCCTCGGGAAAGCACTTATTATACTATATGGCAAGTGTAATTTTACTCATCTGTCTCTCCTACCAGACTTCAGTGCAGGGCCATTTCCTGGCATAATTTCTGGAATACAGAATATATCCCATAAATATTTGTTGAGTTAAAGATAAACTGTTCTCTAGACGAAAGGGCCTCCAGATCTGGTTAAGATTTAAAATTTCTTGAGGAATACATAAATATGGACTCCCAGACCTACTGAGTCAGGATCTAGAATTTAGACGATGAAACTGTTATTTTTCACAAAGTGATGGTGGAGCATCAAGTTTTACTCTGCAAGAATCTAGTCAAGCATTAGTCTTTCTTTGGTGGTTGGTACTTGCAAACCTCACACATACCATGAAAACAGGGTGGAGAATCCATTCATTTATGTATTTAGTCATAGTTATTGAGTGTTCCTTTTGTGTCAAGCACTCCTCTGGGCTTTGAAAGTAGAGTAATGAATAAAATAGACAAGAATCCCTGCCCTCATGAAATTTATATTCTAGAAAGTTAAGCAAAACAAATTAAGTGCAGATTATGTTGTAATAAGTGCTGAAGAAAAAATTAAGCTAGGAAAGGATCAGAAAGCATTAGAGAGGGTCCAATTTTAGGTAGAGCAGCCAGGGAAGGCCACAGTAAGAAGGTGTCATTGATTCAAGATCTGAAGGAAATGAGAGTGAGAATCATATTTGGGGGAGAAGCATTCAAAGATAAAGAACAAGTAAATAGATCCTAGGAGAGCAGCACCCCTGGAACGTCTGAGGAGGACTCAGGAGAATAGGAGTGAGTAAGAGAGGGTCAGTGATAGGAAATAGGATCCCAAAGCATGGAAGAGGTCACATCACACAGGACTGTGTAGGCCACCGTAAGGTCTTTGAAATTCCTCAATGTGAGACGAAAAGCCTTTAAAGGGTTCTGGGCCAAGACTTGACAAGGTCCAATTTACCTATTAATAGCATTTCTATGGCTACTGTGCCTAAATTAAAGTGGGGACAGGGGCTGATGCAGGGAAATCTATTAGAAAACGTTTGTCCTAAATCATGTAAGTGATGCTAGTGGAATAGACCAGGATGTACCCATGGAGGTGCTGAGAAGTTTTCGGATTCTAAATACATTGTATTTTAAAGGCAATTCCAATAGGTTTTGCTTGTAGCTCAGGTGTAGAATAAGAAACAGGAGAATCAAAGGCAACTCCAAAGCTTGGGGGCTGAGCAAATGAAAGGATGGCATGTTTATGTAACCCGATGGAGGAGATAGGAAATTGAGTGGCTAGGGGATGGATGTAGAAGCTCAGTTGTGTTAATTTGAAACACCCAGTTGGAGACCTAAATGAGGATAGAAGTCATCAGTAACCTATGTGTTTCTTCCTCACTGATCTTCTCTGGCTTTGACCTCCAAAGCCCTAATTCAAATATCTACTTTCTAAGCAAAAGCATAATTGCATATGTTGGTAAAATTGCTTTTCGAAACCTTAAAGCACTATCAAATGAACATTATTATTATTTATACATGGAAATACTAGGATGATGCCATAAACCCCAAGAAGGACCTTTCATTTGGTATTTTGAAAATCAGGCTCTAAGAAACATGAGTTCACTGTACCTCAGGGTTTCTGGGCCAGAGGAATACAGACTGGATTTTTGCAGCAAATATAGTGCCCTTTATGGAAACCTTCACAGTTTGCTAAACTTTTGGAAAATTAAACACCCATCATTAAATTGTAACCTAAGGGGACATGAAGAAACAACTAACCGTGCACACCCACCTCTTCTCTCCTGGGAAGTAAAAGCATTATGTGCAACTAAAGGAACTACAAGTTCAATTGAGAATATGTAAAAACCCATGGATTTCCTTTTTAAAGAAACCAGAGTCCATACTTGAAATCCATCTCCCACTTCCATCCCATCTCGCAACCACCAGCTCTGCCCTCATTCCCACTCGTCAAATCTTGGTAGAAACAGCTGTCACCACAAAAGTCATACTGGGCCAGGACAGACAGCTGGCTCTGTGATTCACAAACAAATTAACCTTGGGATTTTATTTTGAGCAAAGGGGCTCCCTATCCTATGTCCTTCATGGCCATCCATTTTTTTGCCTTTGGGTAAACACGCACCAACTCAAATGTCACACACGGCTGAAGGACATTTGGAGTTTTCAGGGTCACTACCCACTATTGCTTTTAAAAAATATTTCTTCTTAATCAAAGGCCTTTATCTCTTGACAAATTTTCCAGTGAAGAAGTATACCTAGTTTAAGTAGCCAGACTCATGCCTGGGGTTTCGCTTCTCAAAGAGGGATGGGTGTGAACATCGTTGTTCCATTAACAATTTAAGGATCAGTTCTCAAAGTGTAGTCATAAGGCGTAGAATTAACAGATGACATAATGTGATATTTAAAAGTTTTAAGAAACCAGTAAATACATGTCTTGCAGCACAGCACCATCTACTGACCAGACAGAGAAAGAATATGGGGGTGGGAGCAGAAGGGAGTGAGAAAGAAAGGGTGAGAAGGACTGAGAAGGCTGAGGGGAAGAGGAAAGGGAAAAGAATGGAAGAGGAAAAGAAAGAAAAAACAGGACTTTAGATTTCTGTTAATGCAATTCCACATTCCACAGATAAAGAAACAGAGCTCAGAAAGTTTAGCTGAATTCGCCAAGGATACAAAAGGCTCTCAGTTCTCCTATTTATAAGGAAAATTATTTTCACATCTCTGAGATTTAAAAAAGAGCTATCCTGATGTAGAATTTGAGAAATTAACCAACATATATCAACGGAACTCATTAGACAGTGCAGATATAGACCCATATGTTGAATCCATTATTTTTCTACCTTTGTACAAAGGGAATTCAATAGAGAAATGATAATCTTTACAGCAAACTTTATTGAAACAGTTTTGCAAAACACATGTAACCTCAACTCATAGTTCACATCTTGTGTGAAATTTGTATGCACCTTGTATAAAAATTCAATATGTATTATAAACCCAAACAAAAAGTATAGAACCCTAGCCAGGCGTGGTGACCCATGCCTGTAATCACAGCTACTTGGGAGCCTGAGGCAGGAGAATTGCTTGAACCCAGGAGGCAGAAGTTGCAATGAACTGAGATTGCGCCATTGCACTCCAGCTTGGGCAACAAAAGTGAAACTCCGTCTCAAAAAAAATAAAATAAAATAACCCATAGAGCTATAAAACTTCCGGTAGAAAACATAAGCGGAAAAATTCATGATCTTGAGTTAGGCAAAGAAATCTTGGATATAACATCAAAGAGAAAGTCTTGGATATAACACCATTAAAGAAAACAATTATAGACACTATCAAAGATTAAGAATTTCTGCTCTTTAGCAGACACTGTGAAGAGAATGAAGACAAGCTATGAACTGGGAAAAATATTTATAAATCATGTATCTGATAAATAACTTGTATTCCCAAGATATATTCAACTTTTAAAACACAGTAATGAGAAAGTCAACAACTGCATTTAAAAATGGTTAAAAGACTTGAATAGACAAAATGTTCAATAGCGGTAGTAAAGAGGAAAGTGAAAATTAAAACCACAATGGGATACCACTACCTACCAATAAGAAGGTTTAAATGTTTAATGTCCTTACAATATTAAAGTATTCAAAGTGATTGGAAATATTTTACATTGCTGTTGGTAATAAAAAATAGCACAAACATAGTGATCATTAAAAAGCCAGGAAACAATAGATGCTGGAGAGGATGTGGAGAAATAGGAATACTTTTACACTGTTGGTGGGAGTATAAATTAGTTCAATCATTGTGGAAGACAGTGTGGCAATTCCTCAAGGATCTAGAACCAGAAATACCATTTAACCCAGCATTCCCATAGTAGCTCCAGTAATAAAGTTAGGAATAACCCCCTTCCACTTCTGAGTTCTGGAAGTAACTCAAGGGACTCCTCTGACATCCGGCATGCTCCTCCTCACATGACAAAAACTATTTCAATTATATATCAAAATTTTTCATCAGTAAATACAAACATTCTTCTTACTCTTTCAATCCTGTTAGGAAAGGATTATAAATCCCAAAGGATTATAAATATACCCAAAGGATTATAAATCATTCTACTATAAAGACACATGCACAGGTATGTTTATTGCAGCACTGTTTACAATAGCAAAGACTTGGAACCAACCCAAAGGCCCATCAGGGTTAGATTGGATAAAGAAAATGTGGCACATATACACCATGGAATACTATGCAGCCATAAAAAAGATGAATTCATGTCCTTTGCAGGGACATGGATAAAGCTGGAAACCATCATTCTCAGCAAACTAACACAAGAACAGAAAACCAAACACCGCATGTTCTCACCCATATGTGGGGGTTGAACAATAAGAACTCATGAACACAGGGCAGGGAACATCACACACTGGGGCCTGTCAGGGGTGGGAGGCTAGGGGAGGGATAACATTAAGAGAAATACCTAATGCACACAACGGGTTGATGGGTGAAGCAAATCACCATGGTATACACATACCTATGTAACAAACCTGCACCTTCTGCACATGTATCCCAGAACTTAAAGTATAATAAAAAAAAAAAAGGCACAACCACTTTAGAAAAGTCTGACAATTTCTTTATATAGCTAAATATACATTTACTATATGACACAGCAATCCTACTTCTAGATATTTACACAAAAGCGATGAAAATTTATGTTTTTTTAAAAAACTCTGGGCCAAGTGGTGGCTCATACCTGTAACCCCAGCACTTTGAGAGGATGAGGCAGGAGGATTGTTTGAGCCCAAGAGTTCGAGAGCAGCCAGGGAAACATAGCAAGATCTCACTGTACAAAAAAAAAAAATAAGAAATAGACGGTGGTGGTGTGCACCTGCAGTCCCAGCTACTTGGGGCACTGAGATGGGAGGATCACTTGAGCCCAGGAGGCCAAGGCTGCAGTGAGCTGTGATCGTACCACTGCACTTCAGCCTGAGCAACAGAGAGAAACCCTGTCTCAAAAAACAAAACAGAACAAAATAAAATTGTGTATGACCGTTTATAATTCCTCTAGGTGTGATCACCAAAACCTTGTCTCTCAATAAGTAAAGAGGTAGATAAACTATGGCATAAGGAATGCTACTCAACAATAAAAAATGAAGGGGCTAGTGACTCACCTAACAACATGGATGACTCTCAAAGGCACTATGATGTTACATGAAAGAAGTCAGTCTCAAAGGGCTATATACTGTATTATCCCATTTAATGGCATTCTGGAAAGGGGACATCTTATAGGGATAAAAAACAGATCAGTGGTGGGTGGGGCTTGGGTGGGAGGTGACGTTGGCCACAAAAGGACATACGAGAATTTAGGCGACTAGGGGGTGAGAAAAACTGTTCCATATCTTGATTGAGACGATGATTACACAGCTGTAGGCATTAGAAAAAACTCTCAGAGCTGTATAACAGAAAGAGTAAATTTTGCTGTATGTAGATTATAACAAAAAAAATGTTGAAAATGGTCTGTAGTCTGGAATACATTTTTCAAAAACATGGAATTAAAAGTATATTCTACTCTCATACACTATTTGTTTATATAAATAAATTTGTTCAAAAAAAGGAAATAAAGAAAATAAAATGAATAGTGATTCATGCCTCAAATATCCTATAGTTTTAAATAACGGAAACTTAATTGGTAAGTTTTTAGTGCAATATGCATAGTTGGTTACATTATGAATATTTTAAGAATCAAAATTTATTATAAAGAGTAAGACTAGGCACAGTGGCTTATGCCTATAATCTCACCACTTCAGGAAGCCAAGACAGGAGATTCACTTGAGGCCAGGAATTTCAGACCAGGCTGGGCAACAAAGCGAGACCCCCATCTCTACAAAAAGTAAAAATTTTCCAGCCATGGTGGCTCATGCTTGTAGCCCCAGCTGCTGCTTGGGATGCTGAAGCAGGAGGATTGCTAGAGCCCGGTAGTTCAAGGCTGCAGGGAGCTATGACGATTCTACTGCACTCTAGGCTATCTGACAGAGCAAGACCCTGTCTCAAAAAATTATGGACAGTGGATTGGGCTTACATTTGATGCAATCTTTGAATATGCTTTTAACATGAATTTTTATCCATATGAAATGGCTCTAAAAATTTTTTCTGGTAGCTTACCTAATACAAATAAGTGAATATACAGTTCTGAGTGCTGTCTCTTTCTTTTCAAGCTTAAAAATTACATTCCTATCAGCCTTCATGGAGCCATACATTTGTTCTTACAACCTGCGTGACATCTCTGCTCCAAAGAGTTCAAATGTTGTCCCATATAGGCAGAACATTTATTGACTTTAATTTAGGATGCCAGGAGTGATAGTAAACCGACAGGAAGTGGGAGAAAAACTGTTAAAAAACTCTCACAACAATGAAAGCCAGTTTGCCACATTAATATTTATCTTATCAGTGGTTTCCTTGCTGCTTCCCAAGGTCTCTAGTCCACTATTAAAGTTTGCCTATTGGACAATTATTTTCTGCATATCTGTTATGTAAGGTATTGTGCTAAAAATAAACTCAGGATATTGTGGCGAATTGAAAGACAAAGGAACTATCCTAAAACAGCTCACCATCCTAGGGAGGATATATAAACACATACATTCAGAAAGTATGGCACAATAGTATCAGAATGATGATGGGAAGCTTCAGGAGCACAAGAGAGGAAGTCAGGGTCACCAAAGGGAGGGGTATAGAACATGGTCAGTAAGAAAAAAACAATTATGAGGGTATAAGCATTAACCTGGTTTACGTCCACTAACTATCCATTCACCAGGTTGATTGAGGAAAACGGGCAGTAAGAGAAGAAAACATGAGCAAAGACTTAAAGGCTTAGAAGTCTTTGGCTTTCTGTAATCTTGTAATTAAAGCTTTGCCACATGATAAAGATTATGCTTGGAAAATATAAAAACTCAGTAAAACTTTTTAAAAATTCAAAGCTTGGTTTAATTGATCTGTAGCTATCCATTTGAAGTCATCCAACTGGTGTTAACTGAAAACAGAGAGGCCAAGTTTATCTAGAGAAAATGCTATCCCTAAATGATATAATTACTTGGTCTTTAATTGGGGAAAATACTTTGGTATTAGAGTGACAGTCTAGAAAACTGAATTTTCACAGAATGTCGTCAGTGGAGTAAAAAGCAAAGTGTGATAGTCTTCATAACCTTTCTAGTTCTGACATTGTACATTTGAAGGTAGAATCTGACCGGACTGATTTCTGATAGATGTTGTTTTAGAAATAGATAGTTACTCTCTTACTTTTTATGAATTTCCTGCAACAGAAATATCTTGAACATTTAGACATGCCATTTCTTTGCATTGAAGTTCATCATTGGTAGAAAAAATATCCATTCATTCAGCAAGTCTTTATTTACTGCCTACAATGCGCTGTAATTCAAAATCCTCATTTGTATTATGTACTTGAGTAATAACTCTCATCAGTCATATAAAGTCTTAAGATGTACACAAAATTTCTTAACCAGTAGCTTAATTGCTTAGGTAAGCTCTCCCTCAGACCTCAAAAGCTATAATAAAATGAGAACTAAAATGTCGCAAAGCTAGCCATATTTTTGATCCATGCCATTTTTAAGATGGCGTTTCAATAAATATTATTCTTTTACCATGCCGTAAATTCACCTCTCTATAACTTTAATAGCTTAGTCATAATTTTATCGTACTCAATTTTAGTGAATTTGTGTGTCTTCAACCATCAGTATTTGCCTCTCCAAAATATTCATAGTAAGTAATTCAGAAATAGAGTCTTCACACCTACAATGATCTGGTCTTCAACAAACTCGACAAAAATAAACAATGGGGAAAAGGCACATCAACAAGAAAAAAAATCCCATTAAAAAGTGAGTTAATGCCATGAATAGACACTTCTCAAAAGAAGACATGCAAGCAGCCAAGAAACATGAAAAAAATGTTCAACATCGCTAATCATTGGAAGGATGAGAATCAAAACCACAATGGGATACCACCTCAAACCAATCAGGATGGCTATTATCAAAAAGTCAAAAAAATAACAGATGTTGGCAAGGTTGTAGAGAAAAGAGAATGCTTATATACTTGGGTGGAAATGCAAATTAGTTTATCCACTGTGGAAAGCAGCTTGGAGATTTCTGAAAGAATGAAAAATAGAATTGCTACTTGACCTAGCAATCCCACTACTGGGTACACACTGAAAAGAAAATAAATTCTTCTACCAAAAAGACACCTACACTTGCATGTTCGTCACATCTCTATTCACCATAGCAAAGACATGGAATCACCCGAGATGCCCATCAGTGGTGTATTGGACAAAAGAAATGTGTGGTATATATACGCCATGGAATACTACACAGCCATAAAAAAGAACAAAATCATGTCCTTTGCACCAACGTGGATGCAGCTGGAGGCCATTATGCTAAGTGAATTAACACGGAAACAGCCAAATACGGCAAGTTCTCACTTTTAAGTGGGCGCTAAATATTGGGTACGCAGAGGCACAAAGATGAGAACAATAAACACGGAAGATTCCAAAAGGGAGGAGGGAAAGGTGGGGAAAAATTGAAAAACTATGTACTGGGTACTATGTTTACTGTTTAGGCAATTCTTCTACAGCTATTTAGCTAGAAACCGTTTCTTCGGTTCCTCATTTCTCCTCTGCAGTGATGCAGCATGGGGCTGTGTGAGATATCCTTTCATGTGGATAATGTATCGCTTTGGGCAGAAGAAAGCACTCCTACAATAAATCCTCTATGTGAGCTGCTCCATAAGGAACTTGAAAAACTGGGCAAAACAATGCAAGAAGCAAGCACGAAACTTGAGGCCGTTATCACTGCCAACACACAGTTAAATACATGAAATCACTACCAAGTATGTCTGCCCAAGCCAGCCAATGGACCAACTTCTCACTCACTGTCTTTTATTTGTATAAGCCAAGAGAGAAACACAAGAAAAAACATCTCACCTTTATGTTTATAAGGCAAGAACAGAGGACAAGAAAAAGGTAAATTTTGACAAATATTCGCTATTTATTTTGGGTAGTTATTGTTAACTCTTAGAAGTTAAATCAAAAGAAATGTGGGATTCCGTCTATCTTGGACAGGGCTAGGGAATGTTCATCCTCATTTTCATTATATCCTCTTTGAAGCTACACACCCCACGTCCTCAATTTTCATTACATATATCCAGAACTGAATCTCGCAGTAACCAGAGAAGCAGCATGTTGCAAGAGACTCACTGATGGGCAATTGCTTCATTACCTCCTCCCCACTCAATAACTACAGAGATTTTGTTCAAGTCCACTCTGTAAATGTCACAGTTACAGACTGGTACCCAACTTAATTCAGTGCTAATGCCTTCTACAAATCTGCTTGGAAATCTTGACTAGTTCTGAACCTACATATCGTAGTCCTTAAGTCCCACTAGGACTAAGAACTTGATGTACAGAATGAAATGTATTCCTCATCTGCAACTCCTGCCCTCATTTCCACATCTACAATAGTCTCCATCGATCCCAGGTTGTTTCTTAGAAAACTGGGTAGAGGATAGTGCCTGCTACAGGGAAGATGGCTGAGCTCCATTCAGAGGCTCTTGTCATGTTGTATGCCCATCCACAAGCTTCAGTGGACTTTGTTTCACATTGCTTGCACCCGTGACTCCATTCAGAAGACTGACCTTGGGCAACTGGAGCCACTTTGCTGCCCAGAAAGTCAGAAGTACCTGGGAACTTACAGCCTTCAAGGGTGACCAACAATTCTAGTTTGTTTAAGACTAAAGATTTCTCAAGATAATTGAGTGCTGAAAGCCGGATGGTGCCAGAAAGACCGGGACAACTGGTCACCCAATGCACCCCTACACCAAACTCCAAAAATAGACAGCCCTTACCCTCAAATGGGGACAAACTTTTGGGCAAAACTATACCCCAGAGCTCCTTGCAGGACCCAGCTGAGGCTGGCATTTCCTTTGCTTGTCATCTTCCATTCTGTATCTGGTTTCCTCCCTCTCACCTCCCCATGTCTGCTGGAAGTACTTCCTTCATAAGTCTTAGGCACCCATTCTCATCACAGGGGAACATTTCTGGGGATCCCCACTGAGGACACCTGCCTCTCCGTGAATGTTAGAAAATTGCATGATGTATCTACCACTGAAATCCATAAGGCAGTCACCAATTTGATTTCAGCCAAATTTTTGAGCCTCCTCTCCTGAAACAAAACTGATAATGGAAATATTGGCAAGTAGAAAAATCCCTCATCTTGTTGATTGTTTTTGTGTTGTTTCCATAGCCTCAGGTCAACCTGGATGTGGCAGTGATGGCAGCAGAGAGTGAAAGCAGTACTGATGGGCCAAGAAAAAGTAAAAGGAGGAAAACAGAATTTAAATAATAAACTCCAAGTGATCAAGACGTGATTATTTCTTCTACAGTGGGGCTTGAGGGCTATTTTTCCTGAAATAAGACTAAAATCTAGAGTACACTTAAAAAAAATTGCTTTATTATGATATGTAGTAATGTATTGATATTATTTATATAGACTTTAAAATATTTTTAGAAACTGTAACTCTGTAAAGTATTAACCTGAACTGGAATGGCCCACTTTAAAAAATATATAATTTTTTTTTTAAAACTCTCCTTCACTAACTTGCTCTTTCAATGAACCACTGAAGTCACGATATGGTGAGGAGCAATTTGCAATAATTTACCAAAATAATAATAAGGTAGCTCTATATCCTGTGTGTTTGATTTTTTTAAAAAAGAGCTTCCCTTTCAGGACCCCATGAATGTACAAGGTTCAAACAAAGTGCGGGACGCTAATGAACAGACGGTATTTTCCTGTGCCGGGCCCCTGTACAGAATGACTTCATTCAGGGCTACTGCTCGCGCATGGAAAGTGCTGGTAAAAAATCCCACAGAGTTCAGACGACCTTTTCCTAACTTTCGTTTTTTTTTTTCCCCCTTGTTTGTCTTTCGGGCCTAAGCCAGGGAAAACATAAATATTCATCAGCTGATATTTGCAGTAGCTGTGAAGTTATGAATGAGGCCATGCGGCTTTCCTCCTATCCCATCTACAGAATGGCAGCTTCTCCACTCAGCTCCCAGCCAAACGACACTTTCCGAAATCCCCAAAGTGTACTAGAAGTCTTTTCAAATTCAGTCTTTTTTTTTTCCCTTTAATGCTCAAAGCAGAAATGCTGTCTGCTTAATGTTTACCCTAGGATTATAGAAGAAGAAAAAGAAAAACATTGCTTTGCCAAGTTTTAAACTTTCAGATGCCTTGACGTAACAGGCAAACTGCTAGCAGCTCAAAATATTGGTAGTATATATCAATGGATATGATGGTGTCAGGGTTTTTTAATATCAAACACTAGAGAGATACCTGAGGCATTTATTGTGTGAAGAGCAGAGAAAAAAAAAACATTGGTTTGATCTGGTTCTACCACTTTGTTCGCTTCTGGACAGGTGTTAGAGACAGATGTTGGAAAACA